TGTTACTTAGTTCAATGTAAACATTTCATATTGTATATTGAAGCAGTACCCTGTACCCCATAAATGCATCAATGTACAATGTTACAATTTAATAAAAATTAATTAGAAAACAAAACAGAACAAAAAAAAGAAGTGGTAGGTAAATAAACCGAGGGATGTTCACATTCATTTTAATCATGTGCTATGAAAAGCCTGAGGACATTCTCCATATTAATGACACAGGCAAAGTGCAGAATAGTGATTTACTGTGCTATAATACCTTTTTGGGGAAAAAGGGATGAAAAACAAAAATATATTCCTGTATTTTCTTATACATGTACACAAGAACTCTGGAAGGACACAGATGAAATTAGATAGGAGATTCCTAAGACTCGGAACAGGAGAAGAAAGGCGGGAACCAGAAAGAGAAGACTTCATTGTGTATCCTGAAATTCTGGGGTTTTTGAACCCTATGTGATAAATTTAAAGGGTTACTAACAGTAAGATGACAGGTGAAGTAACTTGTTTAAGTTAATGAAGACAGTGAGGGCAAAGCCGGTATGCCACCCAGGTCTTCAAAACCTCTGTTCAAGTCCCCCTTGCTCAGATTTATCCTAATCACTGCTGTGTTCAAAGGCAGGAGTAGGACAACTAGATGGCTTGTAGGGGAGTGACATTCCCCAAAGTTACTTTCCTTGGAGCCTCTTCAAGTTTAACTGAAGGTAGCTGAGCTGGACTTTTCATTTTCTCCTATGAGCTCTATTGCAATAAGCCATTCACTTTTTTTTTTTTTTTTTTCAGTTTTTGGCCAGGCTGCGTTTGAACCCGCCACCTCCGTCCAGCATATGGGGCCAGCACCCTACTCCTTTGAGCCACAGGCACCACCCAAGCCATTCACTTTTAACTTGACCATTCCAGAGGGAGAAATATGACCCATGAATCTAGCAATTACACTACTGTATTTCTAACCTAGTAGAAGGTCCTGTTCCACAATAGTTCTGGATCCTTCCTTGGACTTGATTTGAATGACACAAACCTACATTTCAGTGAGCCAGTCCCTGAGCTCAGATATACAGACAGCAGCTTCCCTCAAGGCCTATGAGGATCCAGGTGAACAATGGCCCCAGGTGCTGCCCATGTGGTTGGTTACCTGATGCACGATGCTGCTCATGAGCTCCCTATTGGTCATACTGGCCAGCTCTAGGTGCACTGGGATACCCGTGGGGATATCTGAAATGGAGGTTACAACCTGCAAAGAGAGGAGGACAGAACTGCTGTTAGGAGGTCAGGCAGGAGGGAAGAAAAGATCAGGTCCCAAGAGGTAATGCCCCTTGGGAACAGCCTTCTTTATATCCTCACAAAAGCTACAAGCAATGTGGGTCTCCCAATGCCTCTGTGGACAAGGGATACTTTTCCCAACAGAGAAGAGTGGGATGTGCAGAGAGCCACCAGGGTCATCTAATCAGAGAGGACAGAGATCTGCCCCTGTACATTCATGTTGCCAGTCTATTCCTGTGACCTAGACTGAGCAGCTGGCTTCAACTCGCACAGATGCGTAGGAACTGCAACACAGTTGCCAGGGAGTGAGATGATACAGACAGCACGAAGGACAAAGACTACAAACCCTGCAGCTCGCAGGCACGTTCCACTCAGCACAGAGTGCAGAGGCTCAGGCAAGAAGATGCTCTGACCTGCCCCACTTGAGCTGCTGTGCACATCTGGAGGGGTACAGGGAAGTGCCTCACTGGAGAGGGAGGCTAACTTCACAGCCAGCTGCCATGGTGTGCCCCTGGGAGGCCAGGACCTAAGGCAAGGCAGCACAAGCTACAGAGGCCCAAGAGGCTGACACCTGAAGACACGCCAGCTGAGGTCTGTGAAATGGTATAACAGTGCTATTACCTCCAACAGTCTCTTCCTCTGCAGCTCCTTGCTTTGTCCCTCCATCATGTGCAATCCAGAGAGGACCACCAGGTCTGGCTGAAACTCCTCCAGGCTAGACACAAACACCTCCAGCATATTCATGGCCCCATTGGAGAGGTCGTGAGAGAAGATGAATCGGTTCGCATGGGGAGCTTTTAACTGGCCCCACTGCTCCCCTAGAAAAGCCCAGTCAACACAATGGGAAGAAAAGGAAGAGGCTTTAAGTCTCCTAGCTGTGGGAGCTTTCAGACGCCTTGACAGGAGCCTTGACTCTGAGTGGGCTGGCTTCTGGCTAAGTGGATCTAAGCTACAATAGCCTACGGTCAGTGGGGCGCTACAGGAAACAAACCAAAAACCTAAACCCAAACCCAACAAGGCAAGAGAAACAAAGCATGGATGCCATATGCCCTTCTCAAGGTAATCAGCTCCTCCTGAGTTCCAGGAGAACTCTACGGTCCATGGAGCTCTCAACCACAGGAGACAGTCACAGAGCAGGTATGACTTCCAAACACCAGCACGCAGCACATACCGCATGTGCCCTATGGACAGGATGGGCTGCTTTTTTTCAAAGCATGTTCCAGCTCATAGCAGTGCCCTGAACACCTTTTATTTAACTGGAACCTACCCAGGCTGAAGTCTCAAGAGCCAAGCTGAATATAGCTCCTCTTTCATGCTGCCCACTGCTGGTTTCTGGGCACCTCATCATAAGGGTAAGAATACCTGGCTGCTCTAGCTGCTTTGGAGTAACGACTGTTCTAGACCAAGTTCTTATATGGCTCCACCCCCAATGTGAAGCCTTCCCTAACTCCATACTCCCAAGCAGACTTAATTCTTTTCTTCCTGGGCCACCACTGTCCCCTATCATAGGACTGGGCACATAATTTTGCAGTAATTTGTTCAAGTGTCCATCTCAAGCAGTAAACCATAGCTGAGGACAGCGTCCATGTTATCGTCCATCACCGTATTCCTACTAGCTCATGTTGTGCTTGGCATGCAGCCATGTGAATGAATCAGCAAAAGAACAACTGAATAAAAGAACAGACTGATGACCCTACATGCCCATGGCAACAAAAAATATTGGAATGAAGTCCAAATCCAACATTCCCCAAATTAACAAGACTCTGTATAACAGGAAAAATACATTGGTATCCTCTAGAAAGCAAGACAAGGACCTGACTTAAATAGTGACAGTGCTAGGAAATACAGCCTAACAACCCAGGAGGAAAGAGCCACACTGAATTCAAAATCCGTTGATTTTTTTTTTTTTTTTGAGACAGAGCCTCAAGCTGTCACCCTGGGTAGAGTGCTATGGCATCACAGCTCACAGCAACCTCCAAATCCTGGGCTCAAGCGAGTCTCCTGCCTCCACCTCCCAAGTAGCTGGGACCACAGGCACCCACCACAATGCCCAGCTATTTTTTGGTTGCAGCCGTCATTGCTGTTTGGTGGGCCAGGCTGGATTTGAACCTGCCACCTTAGGTGTATGTGGCTGGTACCTTAGCCACTTGAGTCACAGGCACCAAGCCAAAATCCATTGATTTGTTCATGAAAGTGACAGAGGCAAAAATAAACCAACTTCCACAAGGCCAGGACAAGGAGAGATGTGGAGAGCTGCTCACCGGTCCCATGGGACATAGGGCTGATGAAGGGGCCTGAGAAGCAAGCAGATTGAAACTCAGACTGAAATAGCAGTTCGCGCCCCTCTTTTCTCACAAAGCTTTGTATTTATTTTGGCAAGCAATCCCTTCTCTCCAATTATCATCCTGCCCTTCGAACAGTAAGTCAGCAAAACTGTGTGGTGACTCACTGAAGTCCCAGCCCAACTCTGAAAACGGGCTTTTCTATGGAGGTTTGTTTGGAGAGAATGGGAAAACAAATTTTTCTTTTTTTTTTTTTTTTTGAGATGGAGCCTCAAGGTATCCCCCTGGGTAGAGTGCCATGGCATCACGCTCACAGCAACCTCCAACTCCTGGGCTCAAGGGAGTCTCCTGCCTCAGCCTCCCAAGTAGCTGGGACCACAGGCGCCCGCCACAACGCCTGGCCATTTTTTGGTTGCAGCCATCATTGTTGTTTGGCGGCCCGGGCTGGGGATTCGAACCCGCCACCTTAGGTGTATGTGGCTGGCGCCTTAGCCACTTGAGCCACAGGCGCCGAGCCGGGAAAACAAAATTGATAAATCTTTTTGGAATTTACCCATCTAGGTTTGAGAGAAGTTGGGGATGGATTTCTTATGAGGGCTGACTGAGGAGTCTGCCACCAGATTTTGTTCCCTCCTGGAGCTTAGGAAAATAAAGCTTAATGGAAGGCCACAACTTTGTACTAAGAAAATAAGGCATAGGAAAGACAAATTCATGTGTGAAGGATGGAGAAAATCTCCTTTTGAGATAAACTGTGCCATCTCCATTACTACACATGAAGCACAGCTGAGCAGTACAACATCAAAGGCCTGCTGAAGACACTGGGCTCTCCACTCTACAGGAAAATGACAGAAACCAGAAGCTGCAAAGGTCTCCAGTTCACACTGTAAGTGCCAATGGAAATGGACGTGAACTGAATCTGGAACTGGTGGCACTGGCACCTCACAGGCACACCTTAGCTGTTCTAAATGTTCCAGTCCACAGTCAAGGTCATGCTTTTCTGAGCAGCTCACAATGGTTACATACATCAGCCTCTTAATCATTACCACAATGTTCTGGTAATAAAAACTGTAACTTTTATTTCCCGCCTGGGGAATTGAAAACTGAGAGAAACTCAAAACTTCTGTATCGTTAAATGTGAATTGCTGACTTCAACACTGTGCCCTTAATTTTCAGCACCTGCCTTCCTAAGTTCCCTGCTGATTCTACTAAGCACCCAAAGAGAGCCAGAAACAGGAAACAATTTCTTTTTATACCTACAGAAAGGCATGACTTTCAAGAAACACTACAGCTCCTATCTTACCTTAAAGTTAATTACTCCAGTAGGGGAGGCTCTCTTAATTGTCTGATGTGGAAGTAGTTCACTGCAGAGTATTAAGTACTGCTTTATTACTGACCAGGCTGCTTAGAAAGCAACTGCAGTTGCCAGCATCCTGGAATCAATCCTAAGTAATCTGGAACAGTCAGCCAGAAAAGCCTAGGCACAGGTGAACAAATTGTATTTGCCTTTCTCTTTTCTCAGTAATAAAGAAAAACTTCCTATACGTCAAAATCTAAAACTTTTAACAATTTTCATTTTCATTCAAAATGCCTGCTTTTTTAGAGCCTTATTTCTCTTGGGCTTGGGGTAGTTCTGTTTGTAGACCTGGGAATTTTCTTTGATGTTATTAATATACTGTATCACTTTCTATTATCAGCTCAGAGGAACCAATGGGTCCGGAAACCTGTGGTATGGCAAAAATGGAATCTTGCTAATTTATACAGATCGATTTCTGGTACAGTCACAGGCCAGGATGACAACACACTGTCCCCCTGACCAGTCTTACCACCATTGCTCACTTGTTTCCTTACCTGCTTGATACTCTAAAATGAGGTGGAACTCATCCACTTCCTGCAATGACTCTGGTGGAACAAATACATTGTTGTCAAGAAGTTCATGCAGCTTTGGACCAATTGGACCACAAAGAAGAACCTGGAAACAACATAACGAGTCCATCAGAAGACATGTTCCTCTGCCTGCAAAATCTCAGCAGTAACTGGGAACAGTACAGTCAGGTCAGTTCTATTCATTCCAACAGAATATTGAAATCCAAACCTGATTCCGAGAGTTCTTGGTTTGGGGGTATGCAACAGAAGGGCTATTACCAGGGCATAGGCCTTTGGAGGGTACAGCCACAACATACCCAGAAATGAGAGGCTGACAAAGATCTCTGTGACAAGTCACAGTTTTTAGGTGTCTATGCACTGTATCCCAGTCTCTGCTACGGACTGAATGTGTTGCCCCCAAATTCAGATGTTGAAATCCTAACCCCAGTGTGATAGATCCTATCTGAAGGCTCAGATGATTTGTTTGCATTTTCTAGCCATAAAGTATTTTATGGTCTATAAATTTTTTTAGACATAATGCTGTTACACACTTAGCAGACTAAACTATAGGGCAAACATAACTTTTATATGTACTGGGAAACCAAAATATTTGTATGACTTGTTTTACTGTGATATTTCCTTTGTGGCAGGGGTCTGAAACTAAATGTGCAGTAAGGCGGGTGTCCTCAAACTATGGCCCACGGACCACATGCAGCCTGTCTAGGACATTTATCCGACCCGCTGGGTGTTTTTGCAGCTGCTGCTGGTCCTGTGTAGCAGCTGACTCGTCCCAGGGCCCACAGTCCGGCCCTCCAACGGTCTGAGGGACAGTGTACTGGCTCCCTGTTTAAAAAGTTTGAGGACCCCTGCTCTAAGGTATGCTAGTACACTATTATAAATTCTTACAGTATACATTGTGGTATATCTCTTGAAAGCAGATTGTCATAAGCTAAAGATGTATACTATTAACCTTAAAGGAATCTCTAAGAAAACAAAGAATTCATTTCAAAAATGAAATCATCAATAACTAAGAAAATGACATAAAGGCTATGTTAACCAGTTTGATAAAAATATTTCAAATTGTGTATCAAAACATCACACTGTACCCCATGATTGCATTAATGTACACAGCTAACAGTTAATAAAAAAAAGAAGAAATCATAAAAAAAAAATCCAAAAGAGTACAGAAAAAGAAGAAAAAAGGAATATAAAGAGGTGGGACAAGTAAAAAATAAATAGCACGATGTCAGATTGAAAACTAACCTGATATTTCAATAACCACATTAAATGTAAATGATCTATAAACACCCCAATTAAAAGGTAGTGATCATCAAATTGGATTAAAAAGCAAGCCCAACTATATGTCATCTATAAGAATTACACTTTATTTTGATTTATTTACCTTTAATTTGTTTTAAAGATAGGGTCTTGCTCTGTCACCCAGGTAGAGTGCAATGGCATGATCATAGCTCACTGTAACCTTGAACTTCTGGGCTTGAGCTTCAATCCTCCCTTCTTAGCTTCCTGAGTAGCTAAGACTATAGATATATGCCACCATGCCCAGCCAATTTTTCCATTTTTGTAGTGACAGGGTCTTGCTATGTTGCCTAGGCTGATGTAAAGCCATCTTCCTACCTTGGCCTCCCAAAGTGCTGGGAAAAGAGGTTTGAGCCACTGTACGTGGACCTCTTTTTTATCTTTAAGGTTATAAAATCGTAAGATAATAATTGTGAGGACTGAGTAACAGATAACACTTTTCTTTCCAACTTCCACTCAGACTGGTCCCAGGCCCAGCTTCTCTGAAGACCAAGAGCAAATGCTGGTCCCAGGCAAAGTCTATACTGAAAGGTCAATCTTGTACTCACTCACAACTTCCAGAATGTCACCTTCTCAGAGGCTAGAATTATTTCTTAGGATCAGGAGGGCAGCCTTTTAGAGATCCATAAAGTCTTCTGGAATTTTGATGTGAAAGGCTTTGGCTCCCTCTAAAGACCTTTTGAACCATCTTTTCTTCTCTTTTACCCATTAACTGCTAATTTTTCCAAAAATCAGCCCTGGAATTTTTTTTTTTTGAGACAGAGCCTCAAGCTGTCCCCCTGGGTAGAGTGCTGTGGCATTACAGCTCACAGCAACCTCCAACTCCTGGGCTCAAGTGAGTATCCTGCCTCCGCCTCCCAAGTAGCTGGGACCACAGGCGCCTGCCACAATGCCTGGCTATTTTTTGGTTGCAGCTGTCATTGTTGTTTGGCGGGCCTGGGCTGGATTTGAACCTGCCACCTTAGGTGTATGTGGCTTAGCCACTTGAGCCACAGGAGCCGAGCCAGCCCTGGAATTTCTAATCTTCTCTATTAGAGAGCTAATTATAATTTATAAGGATAATGACTACAACAATTTCTGGTTTCTACTCTAATAGTTCATGAGAACCTTAATTCTTATTAAGGTTTAATAAACACTTTAATAAACTCTCTCAATCTAAAGCACACCCACGTCCTGGTATACAGAGTGGCTTCATAGAATTTTCCCCCTGAAATTGCTGATAATCTATCTTAATTACTGAGTTCATCTCTGGCTTTTGAGTCCATCCCTCTGACCCATCTTTCTATTTTTAGGCTGGTTCCCAAAACCAGAGAACTGTTCATGGTTCCCTTCACTCCCATCAGCTGACACAACCATTCTGCACTTCTCAGGTTTATTCACTCCAACATCAATTCTGTTAAACCTCTCTTCTTTGTTCCCTGTGCGTGGACCAGCCAAACCAGTGATCCCCCAGTAGTTAGGTTTTAGATACTTAGGTTTCTCCTCTCTGGCTGCTCTAATATAAACCTTAATCATCTTACAGTACTACAGTGCTAACCTCCTTGCTGGCCTCCCCATTCAGACCTGTTTCACTCAAAGCCAAAGAAACTTCTTATTTAAATGTTATTTTGAACGCAGAAATAATTTTTAATTCTAGTTAACCAAACGGTTTAAGACCTGAAGACACTCCCCCACTGACTCCCATATAGTAGCTTTCATTTTTCTACTCTGGATCCAGGCTCACCTGTGCTCCTTCTCATCACCTGCACAATCCCAAGTCTCAGGTATTGACTCCAGAGCCTACATGCTCCTAACTGTTACATGATGCAGTATTTAAGAACATGGGCTTCTGGATCAGACTGCCTAGGTTAAAATCCTAGTTTTGTTACTTACCAGCTGTGAACCCCTGTATGCCTCAAGTGTCCTCATGTAGAAGTGAAGGACAACAGTACATCAAAAGTACCAAGTAGCCTTATAGGGTCTTTGCAAGGACTAATCTCTATAAAGTACTAAAGACAACATCAGGCACATAGAAACACTTAGTACAGCTATCCTACCATTATTATATTGCTTCCTAACCATAGGCACAGGGTCTGGCATATTGCAGGTGTCCCACAAGTTGAATCAAGAACAAATATTCATTCTCCTAAGATTATTCAAAAACTCTCAGGAAAGACAGAAGTTTTAATCTGGGACTTTGACCTACCTTTAGATCTGAGTTGCCTGCAAATTTCTGTCCAATTAAAGCTGCATTTCCTCCTACATAGTGCTGTAAAATAATTTGAAGCTATTAGTATTTTAACACAACCATATCAAGCTTAATAATTTTTAATTAAAAAAATTAGTTTATAGTCCATTTTTTTCCCAGGAACACTTTGAGGTGATTTTCTAACAAAGGACACACAGAAGAGGTCAGAAAGACACAGAAATAGACAACAGATAACAGGGAAAGGTAAAGAAAATAAATAAGCTAATCAAGAAAATTAGTATGATTGCTTTCACTACAGATCAAATATGGCTCTGAGCTTCCCAGCAAGACACAGGAAATGTGAAAAGTCCAGACAGACCTTATCTTTTACATTGTAATCCTTCTAAAATGAAGGAAAAAGTCACTCTCTTCCTGAAAATCACTCAGCGTATATGAGAATGAACTGAAATCTAACCCTTAAATAAGACACACAAGGCCATTCTTTATCTCACCCATGCTTCCCTTTCTGCTCCACCTCCTCCCCTTCCCTCTGCACCCTGCTTGAAGCTGTCTGAGTTAGCCTTCCTGTCTTGTCTCTGCCTTTGAATCAAACTGTTTCCTTTCCTTAAGATACCCTCTCTTTCTCAGATATTAGACTAGGTCAACCCCTGATCACCTTAGAAGAATCAGCTACAATGTCACCTCTCTTGCGACGCCTTCCCTGTTCCCTTTTCCCCACTGACATTTTAGCCTCCCAAACTGCCCTCACCAGACAGAATTACAGATCCCTTCCTACCCTTATAACCTGAACAAACCCCTAACGTAGCTCATCTGCTTGGTAGCACCTGGGTACAGACTAGCTCCTTCAGGGTAGGGACTGTCTTCTTTTTTAAGTGCTTAGTAGATGTCTGATGCTAAATTTTGAGAAAGAAACAAACACAAGGATGTGCTGGGAAATACACAGGTTTCTTAGGAGTAAATTCTAAAAGTAATGGGCCCTATTACAGTAGAATATTTTTCCCCCTAAAAACACATCTCTCCACTGAGGATCTGAAGAAAAGATACTTCAAGGTCGGTATTCCATGTTGCTGACTAAGCATGGATCCATGTGCCTTGGAAGACTGACAAACAGGAGATAGGGTTGCTGTTGTTTTGGTTTTTTTTTTCCTAGAGTCTCACTCTATCGTCCACATTAGAGCGCCACAGCCTCAGCCTAGCTCATGGCTACCTCAAACTCCTGAGCTCAAGCAATCCCCTGCTTCAGCCTCCCAAATAGCTGGGACTATAGGCACCTGCCACAATGCCTAGCTAGTTTTTCTATTTTAAGTAGAGATGGGGGTCTCACACTTGCTCAGGCTGGGTCTTGAACTCCTGACCTCAAGCAATCCCCTTGCCTTGACTTCCCACAGTGCTAGGATTGCAGGTGTGGGCCACTGCACCCGGCCAAGGTTGCTGTTCTAATAAGAAAGTTGAAAGTTGAGAAGCCTAATCAATAGTCTCACCTGGAAGGTACTACCCCACCTTCCTGGTCTCAGCCCATGCAGAGGCACAGTTTAAATAAACAACTCTAGATGCTAGACATCATTCACCCCCAGTCTGTACGGACCAACCTCTCAGTAGGTATTAACAGTAATAGCCTCCTAGAGACAATTTAAAATTTTCTGTGTTATATAGGCTGAAATTTGACCTTTTAACATCAATTAATGTTTTATTTAACTATGCTGGCTAGAACAATTTACTGAAGTATCTTGGAGGAAGTAGATTTCAAAGTTTTCATATAATGGTTATTAACTTATCAGTCAACTTGCTTTTAATTTAAGGGGGGTTCAAGAAAGCACCAAATTGAAGTGTTATCCTAAGGTAAGCAACATTTACATTTTAGGTTTTACAAAGTTAAGATATAATTTAGGCCATCAAAAAGCTTAATAAAGTAGAACAGAAATTGATGATCATAAATACTTTTAAGCAGAAGAGTCATCATCATGTTAGCAGTAGCAAGGTTCTCACCTAAGAGTTTAGAATATCATGGTGAGTGTGGCTGTCAAAATGATAACTAAAATTTTACCAATTTTTTTTTTTGTTTTTTTGAGACAGAGTCTCACTATGTTGCCCTTGGTTGAGTGCCATGGCATCACAACTCACAGCAACCTCTAACTCTTGGGCTTAAGCGATTCTCTTCCCTCAGCTTCCCAAGTTGGGACTATAGGCACCTACCACAATGCCCAGCTATTTTCTGTTGCAGTTCTCATTGTTGTTTAGCAGGCCCATGCTGGGTTCAAACCCGCCAGCTCTGGTATATGTGGCTGGTGCCATAATCACTGTACTATGGGCACCGAGCCTGTTTTTTTCCTTTAGAAACCCAGCCTGGGCCCACTTCTAATGTCCAAAAAGACAGCTTCAAAGGACAAAAACTTTAAAATCATAAAAGTCATCAAAATAAAGAAGTGGTCACAATGGTTTGCCTGTGAAAGATGCCAATTAAAAATGACGTGAAGAGGCCATGCACAATGGCTCATGCCGATAATCCTAGCACTCATGGAGGCGAGGCAAGAGCTGGAGACCAGCCTGAACGAGAGGCCTCTGTCTCTAAAAATAGAAAAATCAGCCAGGTGTTGTGGTGGGTCTCTGTCAATTTGAGCTGAGGACTGGGAAGCTTAGGCAAAAGGATCACTTTCTTGGGAAAGATGAGGCAAAAGGATCACTTTCTTGAGACAGATTACTGCCTCAAGAAAAAAAAGAAAGAAAATGGTATAAAGAGCTTCTTTGGCTACAACTAGCCAAAGGAAACTTTTAGGTGAGGAAGAATTTAGGGTGAGGGGTACTTAACCAAACAACAAAAACTCAGCTCCTTGAGAGGCCTGTAGGGGTGAGGTGGGAAGAGCTGTGATTGGGCCTCCAGAGCCAGCACTGCCTCTCACTCTGTGTGAGCCTGCAGGAAGCACTCGGACCATGCAGGCCCCAGGGCTTGGTTTATGATCACCAGCTTAGCTTGAAGACCTCTAAGGTTCTATCTCTGTCAAGTTCTTTCTAGTGATTCTCAAAATGAGATTCTCAGACTTGCAGCATCCATCATGAAACATGCTGGAAAGGTCGATTCTTGGGTCCCAGCCCACATGTAGCGAATCAGAACTCTAAGCAGGCCCAGGAATCTGGGTTTCAGCAGCCACACCTGCAATGATAATGATGCAAGCTCAAGTCTGAGAACCACCAGGACCAGCTGTTTACAAAGAGGGGTGATTCTGCTCCCATCCTCTTCCACTCTCGAGAAACCCCGGGCAATGTGCAAGGGTATCCAGCCCGAGTGGGCTACATGCTGATTTTGTGAGGCTTTTGTTGCTTATCTGTGGTGTCAGATATCAAGAAAAGTATGCAAAGACCTTGTTTTTTGCTCCTAGGGTTTTGTTAGTGTTTGTGTATTTAAAATGTGGCCCAAAACAACCCTTATTCTTCCAATGAGCAGCAGAGGAAAAAAAAAGGTTGGACACCCTTGGTCTAGAGACATTTTGGGGGAAATTTTGTCTCAGTTGGGAAGGCATCTATATATTGGAAGGTCAGAACCAGAGTTTTCCAAAAAGAGAAATATGCTACAGAACTAAATTCCCAGCTATGACCATCTTGGATCAAACTGGAAGAAAAAGTTGCTTGACTGCTTCCAGGAACCATATAAAAAAGGCCTCTTTTCCCAGTATGTCTTAATTTACTTTTGGTGAACTGAACATACCTGGGCTCCTGGGAACTCTGATGCCACCTGGGCAATGTCATGGAAAGCTTCCTTATCACTGAAGAAGCGCTCAGCAGCTGCTCCCTTCCCCAGGAAGTGAGTGAAGGCTTCTTCCAAATCATTCCTTGAACCCAGAACGGTGTGATCTTTCCCATTTCCAGGACTCAGGCCAAGTGCCTGCAAGAGTTTCACCCCTGAAAGCACCACATCGACACATGCATTGACTCTGGAAGGAGGAAAGAGACAGTGTGAAAGAAGGAAGCCCAAGCACTGGGCAGCTGTTTTGCATTTAACAATAGTAAAGTGTTTCTGAGAACTGTATCCAAACAGAAGAGCCAGGGGATGTGAATTGGAAACAAGAATTGAAAAGTAAAGTGCATGTGGCTATTTAGGAAAATTACTTTGCTGGACGTATATCAGGATCAGAACACAGCACTCTTTTTAATAGTCTGGGAAACTTTTACAAAGCTACCAGTTACCAAGTGAGAAGACAAGTTCTTAGCATTTCAGAACAAAGCTATCATGATAATAATGTAACATTTCTGAGAAAATGCTGGCAGAGCCAAACTGGATTCATCATGGCCATGTGATCTGAGCAAGTCACTTTAGTTTCTGTATTTCCTCATCTATCATACGGCAATAATGCTGAGTAATGCAAGAAGTTGTTGTAAAGATGAAATAAGTTAGTGTACACTTAGGAAAAGTGCTTGGTGCAGGGAAGGCAAAATATAAATTTTGGTAAAAAAGTATCAGTCGTCTTCCCTCCAAAGACAACTGAGGATGGTGATTAAGATGCACTAAATATCTAAATGCCTGAATACTCCCTGCGGAAAGCCTGCACCTTAGCCTGGAGGGGTGCTGTGAGGACTTAGGCACACCTGTGTCTTGTAACAACTCATCACTTGGAAGGTGTTCACAGGAATGATCTAGAACTTAGAAGGCTGTCTCAGCTGTCTTGATGGAAATTATAAAATACAGGTTGGGTACTCCTTATCCAAAGTGCTTACGAGTGAAAGTGTTTTGGATTTCAGAATAAGTATGTGTCAGGGTTCCCTGTGGACCCTGACCTGGGTTGGGGGTCAACAGGGGAGAAGATAAAGCTGGGGGAATATAATGAGACTCTACGCTAACTTAATAAAGTCTGGGGAGCCTGGAGAGGCGGACACTGACTAACATGCCACCCTCGGGGCACCAGATTGAGACAACATAGTGACTCTCCGATTTCTCAGAAATCTTTTATTGATTTCTAACACAAAGTGTATATGCACAATGCAAAGGTGCTGAAACCTAATTAAAAGAATCCCAAGTCCCCAGAAAGACTGGGCAAAAGGCAAAGGCTGGGTAATCAGAACATACGGTAGTGAGTTGTCGACAGGCTGATAATACACTTAGAAAGGGGGGAGGGAAAACACGTTTTGTCTCCCCAGGGCAGGCAAACCAACTTCCCTAATTTTTTTTTTGAGATAGAGTCTCAAGCTGTGTCCCTGAGTAGAGTGCCGTGGTGTCGTAACTCACAGCAACCTCCAACTAGGGCTCGAGGGATCCTCTTGCCTCAGTTTTTCTATTTTTAGTAGAGAAAGGGTCTCCCTCTTGCTCAGACTGGTGTTGAACCTGTGAGCTCAAGCAATCCACCTGCTTAGGCCTCCCAGAGTGCTAGGATTACAGGCGTGAGCCACTAAGCCCAGCCCAACTTCCCTAATCTAACTGCAAATCAGGAGTTTAAAGGGCTCAGCCCCACCTGCCTGCTGACTCTCCCACACAGGGATGATCTTAAAGACTTGTCAAGTCTGGGGTGCCTCTGGGTTCCAAGGATGGCCCCTCTGTGCACTTTGCCCTGTCCATATCCATAAAGAGATGTCTTAGGGATAGGACCCAAGTCTAAACACAAAATGCGTTTGTTTCATATACACCTTACACACATGGCCTGAAGGTAATTTTATACAACATTTGAAATAATACTGTGAATGAAACAAGTTTATGCTAAATACTCATGGGTGGACTTTTCTACTTGTGTCGTCAGATCAGTGCTGGAAGTTTTGCAGATCAGGGATGCTCACCCTGCGCGGAGGTGGTCTGGTGCAGCCTGTCCAGCATGTCTTCTCCTGACTGCATAGGGAGAAGTTCTGGCTTATATTTTCAGTGTCTTGCTAAAAGTAATCTCTCTTTTCTTTTCTCAGAGAAAGGTCCGATAATCAGGATAGTTAACGAGGTCTTTGTGCACCGCCCCCCCACCCGTCATGGTCACCTTTGTTTCCTGCCTCTGCCTATTCGGGATGTCATTCTGTACAGTGGAGATGGATGACCATAAATTTCCTATTTTATTAATGGCTATATACGATATTAAGTGTGGATACAGCACAATTTATAGACAGTCTCCTCTTAAAAGCATATAGAAATGGACAGATGCTTTTCTAAATAATGTGCATGTGAAAATTCTGTTTTTCTTTTTTGGCTGGGGCTGGGTTTGAACCCACCACCTCTAGCATATGGGGCTGGTGCCCGAAAATTCTTCTTCTTATTTTTTTTTTTTAATTTTCTTCTCACTTTGTTGCCCCTGGTAGAATGCTGTGCCATCACAGCTCACAGCAACCTTGAACTCTTGGGCTGAAGTGATCTTCTTGCCTCAGACTCCCAAGTAGCTGAGACTACAGATGCCCACCACAATGCCAAGCTATTTTTAGAGATGGAGTCTTGCTCTTGCTCAGGCTATCCATTCGCCTTGGCCTCCCACAGTGCCAGGATTACAGGTGAGAACTAATTTTGAATCTAAAAATGAAACTACCATAGAAACATTTTCCATTCCCTATCTAATCACATTAGGAATACTGGCGGGGGGGGGGGGCAATCTTCCAGGGAGGCAGTATAAAGAATGAAGACACAGAGATGAGACAAGTGGTCACCAAAGAGAGATTCGTGACTAGGGGGTTTCACTCTAGCTCTGCTCTGAGGTTTTCAGGCTAACCCTCTGTCTGACGGCTTCCTCAGGTCATCAATAACATCCCCACCTGTGTGATCCGAGGAAGACACCAGTGCCATAAGGCAAGCAAGTGAGCATGGCCTCCGGACAAGGGAGGGGAAGGAGAGAAAGGACCTGAGAGAGGTTTAAGAGGTGGGACCCACTGGATTCAGGAATAGAGGAGGACTGAGGGAGATGTGGGTATAAGGGAGAGGGAGGATTCTGGAGTAACTCTTGGGTGTCTGTACCGGACACTCCATGGCCCCCAGTCCCTAGATGGAGACTCAGAGTGCTGAGGTGAAAGGGAGGAAAGAGGAAGGACAAGGGAGGAGGAAAGGGCAATCTTATAGAAGAAAACATTTTATAATTAAAAAACCCCCCCCACTGAACAGTATACATGCATCTCAGATGCCAAACAAGTACTTTTACATATCTGTTCTTGTTGTATGTTATAATACTTTAACCAGAGGTAGGATCTTTCTCTCTACTTAACAGCATCCCCAAAGGCAAACAAGCATGTAACCTACGGTGCTTTATTATTATGTCAAGGGGAAATAAAGGGAGATAGGAAGTTAAAGAACTAGAGGACAAAACCGTCCTCAATTAACACATAGCCATTATTCACACTTCAGTAAGAAATGCATGCAAGATTATAGTGATTTTGGAGAAAACACAGGTAAATGAGGCAAGGCAATAAATGCTGGATGCCAAAACCCAATCCTGTTGTTCCTCAATATACTCCAGCAGAGTTCTCCCTTCTAGACTGAAAGCTCCTCAAAGGCAAGAATGATGTTTCTTATCACTTCCCTTGTTTCACCTTCTGTAAAATATTTTCTAAGGTTCTTTCCAGTTCTAACATTATGTGCCTTCCAGGGTGTGGGCAACCCATGGCCTTTTGATTTTGACATAGTTCTTTTTTAAGCACCAAAGGAGGCAAGAAAAGCTTTATCTTTCCCTGTTGTACCCTTTTTAATAAAGGGATTTGTTCTGTAAAATTTGGGTTAGGTCAAAAGGCTACACTTAAAAACCAGGAAGGTCACAAGTTTCCATAAGGCCACAGGTTCCCTGCTTTCGGCTGAGAAAAGTGAGGCTGTGGGCTAATGCCCTGAAGGCCACAGACTGCAGGAGCTTAAATTCAAATCCAGATTTATTTGATATGGAAGCCCACATCGGGAGCCTGCACAAACAAAACTGGATGATGGGACGAACCTTGTGTTTGGACAGAGTAAGAATGCTGAGTTAACTAGAATGGAGAATTCTGGCTCAGTGTCTGTAGCTCAGTGGCTAGGGCGCCAGCCATATACACTGGGGCTGGTGGGTTCGAATACAGCCCTGGCCAACGACAACCAAAAAATAGCTGGGCGCTGTGGTGGGCCCCTATAGTTCCAGCTACTTGGGAGGCTAAGGAAAGAGAACTGCTTAAGCCCAAGAGTTTGAGGTTGCTGTGAGTTGTGACACCATGGCACTACTGAGGGCAACATAGTGAGACTCTGTCACAAAAAAAAAAAAGAATTCCTACAAGAGAAGACCAAGATAGGTTTCAAAGGTCTGGTAAAACAAGTCACATGGCAAATTAACGTTAGGATGAAGACTTCATTACTTTTTACCCAGTGAAAAAAACACAGCACAGTCCAATGTAAAGGCAGAGGAAGAGCCCCATTTCCTAGCAAAATGTGGTAGTGGGTTTCTCTGATCTCTTTCCACCATCCCCTTAAACACTGGTGTCTCCCAGAATTCCACCCTTGCCCAGGCTACAGTGCCGTGGCATTAGCCTATCTCAGAGCAACTTCAAACTCCTGGGTTCAAGCGACCCTCCTGCCTCAGCCTCCAGAGTAGCTGGGGCTATAGGCACATGCGACAATGCCTGGTTAATTTCTCTATTTTTAATAGAGATGGGCTGGTCTTGAACTCCTGAGCTTAAACAATCCTCTCGCCTTGGCCTGCATGAGCCACTGCAGCCACCACTGTTGTCTTTTATTTTCTCTCTCTTTTTTTTTTTTTTTTTTTTTTTACCTTTTCTTCATGTTATCTTCCTGGGACATCCTATCCAGTCTGTGGCTTCAACCTAAGTGCTGGTGTCTCCAAAGTCTGTAACCCTGTTTTTCCTCAACATACTCCTGAACTCCAGCCTCTCATTTTCAGCAGCTGACAGAGAAGCTACATCTGAAATCCTACAATAATGGTATATTTCCCTTCCTCTGAAATCAAACTTTCCTTCCTCTAGAAACTTCTTCCTTTTTCTTTAATCTTTCTTAATGGCAATAGTGTGCATGAATATGGAACCAAAAATGGGAAAGACCGGGCTTAAGTTGTATCCGCTGGCATTTGACAGCTTTCGATCTTATTGAAGCTGTTTACTCATCTGTGAAGGCTGCATGATAATATTTGATCTGCCTACCTCATAAGGTTGTTACCTGGCACTTCTGACTGCCTTTCTTTACTCTGCCACATCCATCCTGTTATCCAAATATCTCTCAAATCTCACCTCTTCATCACCGTTGCCAAGCTTGGTCCAGGTTCTTTTCTCCCTTTACACAAACCCTGTAAGGGCCTCTTAACTAGTCTCAAGACATTCCTCCTTATGAATCATATTATGTTCTGAATGTGTGAGTGTGTATATGAAAGACAGAGTGTATGATTTACATTCTTCTGAAAGTTAAACCATAACACCTATCCTGCTCCCCCACTCCCCTAATGAGATTCTGGTACAACAGCACCTGCTCCCACCTACTCCCCCTACATCCCCATCTTTGGGCTAAAAATCTCTTTGGGTGATGCATACATTACCAATGGATTTGTGTTACCCACAAAAATGATGTGAAGCAGTAAAACAGGTTAGAATTACTGCTCAGAATCTGCACTTCACATTTCTACCAGCTATCTGCTATGTCACCCTTGGTAGAGTGCCATGGTGTCACAGCTCACAGCAACTTCCAACTCTTGGGCTTAAGTGATTCTCTTGCTTCAGAGTCTCAAATAGCTGGGTCTACAGGCACTCACCACAATGCCTAGCTATTTTTTGGTTGCAGCTGTCATTGTTGTTTAGCAGGCCCGAGCTGGGCTCAAACCCACCACCTTTGGTGTATGTGGCTCGTGCCCTACTCACTGAGCCACTGCCAGCTATTTTCAGTGAAGAATTTAGCATCACTTACCTGCTTATAAAGCTTTATGGCTTCTCCATGACTAACTTTCCTTTCTCAGCATTATCTCTTTACATCTCTCTACCGTAAGATTCTTGCCCCCCAAAAGGGCCAACTTACTGTTCTCAAATCATGTTTTTTCCCACATTTGGTTCTCTTACCTAGGTGGCTTTTCCTATCTTTGGAGAAATCTTAACTTTTCTCTAGGGTCTATTCCAGGAATGTCACTGTAGTAGAATATATTTTCAAGATGGTCACAACAAGATGTTCCATCCCACATGTTCTTTTTACAATGTGACATTGATGCTCCTTCCATCAAGGTATGTTTGACCTCTTCCCTACCCCTTTAAAACCAGGTGGATCTATGACTCTGATAGAAGGGTTCCTCTGTGTTTCCAAGATTAGGCTGTAAAAGGCATTCAGGCTTCTGCCTGGTCCTCTTGCGACATTCCCTCTCCTAATCATAATTGTTATGAATTGAATTGTGTCCCCTTCACCCCAAATTCATATATTGAAACCATAATCTCCAAGGTACTTGGACATAGAGTCTTTAAAGAAGTTAAATGAGGTTTTTTAGAATTAAGTGACAAGTAAAGTTAAATGAGGTTTTTTAAAGTTAAATGAGGACTAGTATCCACGTAAGAAAGGGGAGTGCTCTGAAAGCTAGGAAGTGAGGCCTCATCAGCACTCAACACTGCTGACACCTCAATTTTGCACTACCAGCCTCCAGAATCATGAGAAAGTAAAGTTTTGTTGTTTAAGCCACCCAGTCTGTGAAATTCTGTTCTAGCAGTCTAAGGAGACTAACACAATAATATCTATTTTCAACAAGGCAGGCAGGAACCTTTTATCACCCATCTCATACCCTAAGAACCTAGCACAGATCTGACACTAACCACATAGTTGATGAATATTCCTTGAATGAATTCACATAAAGCAAAGGAGACCAATTTAAAAGCTTGTGAGAAGGTAGAAGAAAAGGGCCTGAAATTGAAATAACAAGTAAAAGGAGATCCATTTGAAGAACCAATAAATGTGCTGACATAAAAAACACTAGCTAACATTTGAATGCTTTTTAAAGCAGACACTATGCTGGATAGATTACATGGATCATTTCACTTAATCTTCAGGACAATTTCTACTTTACTCCCCCCTGCCTCAGCACTCATAGGAAGTACTGGGGTACCTGTTGTAAAAGGCCTGCTTTTGTGTGGTGCCTTTGAAGAGATGTCAAGAAAGCCAAGTCAACCGAGACAGGGACTAGTTGGCTTAAAGGGAATAATTACATTCCCGGGAAACAGTACAAAGAAAGGAGGCGCTGTGATTTGGGAGAAGCTTAAATATGCATTGTCACTGGTCAAGGGAAGAAAAAAAGTTTCAAGGAGAAGGGCATGTTCATGGCATGGGAGGCTGCATTGTTGATAATAAAGGCAAAAAGAAAAAAGGCAGCTTAATTTGAAAATCTGAGAAGAGTTGCAGCGGATTAGTGGTCTCCACACTGTGTGGTGTTAAGAGAAAACAAGGCGGTTGTTAAGGCATAGACCACGCATCTTCAAGAAGTTCAGAAGCAAGAGATAGAGGGCAGTCAAAGTGGGTAAGATCAAGCCTCTCTGACTGCAAAAGAACAGTCTCTAGAAGAGGAGGAGGGATTGAAAGTTGGAACAATGAAAGAGGCTTAGAACATGAAGTAGTCAGGCTGAGCGGGATTTGCAAGAAGCTATAGGGCCGTTCCTATTGGGATGCAAGAAGAGCACGGAGGCCAGCTGAGCGGATAAAGAAGTCTGGCGAATGCCTGCAGCGGTGACCAACCTGGTTCCACCCGGACGACCAACGCCTCTCATCAAAGGGGCAGCGCCTCCCAGGGACCTCCGGGAACCCGTTTCCACGCGGGCTCTACCTCCCATCTCCCAAGCCGCTCGACCTCCAAGGCGGACCTCGGAGGCCCGCAGTGCCCGCACTAACTGGGGGAGGCCCCCAGGCCCCGCAGGCACTCACCCCACAGCCACGCGGCGCCAGCGCCGGACCGGCTGCACGATCAGCGCGTCCCAGGCGGCCGCCAAGCGGCCCTCGGGGGAGACGGGACTCGGGGGCGCGGGCCCCAGCTTCAGCGAGCTCCAGAGCGAGCGCAGCGCCGAGCCTGGCAGCTCCGGCTCCAGCAGGAAGACGCAGCCCACGGCCAGCGCCAGGAAGCCAGCGTACGCAGAGCCGCGCCACAGCGCCATGGGGACCGAGACGCGGCAGCGACGCCGTGAGACACCTCTCCCGGCCCGCGCCCCTTCCGGGCTCGGCTTGGCGACGTCGGCACCAGCGCTACGTCACTCCGGCGCGCCGCGGCCCCCCAAGGGGCGGGGTCTGCGACGGGCGCGGAGAGTCCAAGTCTCTAGTCTGCGTCCGGGCGGTGGGACACACGGTTATCCTCTCTCCGCGCTGTACTAGTTCCCAGAACTCAGCCGTACCCAAAATAGAGCGACGGGAACACGTTTGCTTTCCTCTAAAACAAAACTGACGGATTATGAAGAAGCGGGGAAACCTCGCGTTAATATTTGAGCCAGTCGGGGAAACCCTTTGGCATCAATCACTGCACCCTCTTTTAATCCATCCCTTAGACCCTCTGCCATCCTCCAGCGTTTACTCGTCCTTTTCCACGCCCAGTGCCCGGCGCTTCTTGGGGGGAATCGGCTCAGATGGCAGCAGCGCTTCAGAGACTCTCTGGGTATGCAAGGAGCGGGGGTGGGGGACCGAGACTCACGGCCATTCAGGACCTTCCCTGAGACGAGGAGAGCCCGCAGAGATTGCCAGTGACCAGATTGACTCTGGATGACCAGATTCAACATTCAGACCTTAAAATAACTCCTTTGGGGGGGCGCTGTTCCTTTAACAATCTTGTGTACAACACGGGGTGTTGTGAACTTGGATTAAGAAGCCCTGGTTCTCCTTTTTCCTTGATGATACATGGTATCACTTAAACAGCCCTGTCTTCCTTGGTGTGACCCTTCTGTGCGGGAGTCGAGGTTGAAAGACAATTGAAGCTAGGCTCTATGCCTGCTCTTTCTCAGCAGCCACCAAGCCCAGTCTGGTCTTGTTCCCTGGCTTATTTCCCTTTTTCCAGTTCTTTTGGCTCCTACCCTGGGCAGTGCCCGTCCAATTTTCCACTCTTTCTATGACCTTTGGACTTGGCAGTGAAACTTTATTCCCCCAGTTTTGATCTTGGGCATTAGTCTTCATTTTCCCTAACCCCCCACCTCACTAGCACTTCCTCTAGTTCATCCCACCCAGCCCACCTGACCATACCGTCCCTATCAAAGGAGATGTACACACAGAAGAAACTTGGGTTACCTTGGAAAAGAAAGAAGCCAAAGAGCCAATGAGATCTATGTGAAGACATGAAAGCTGCCTTCCTAGATTTGCCGGTCCCTTCTCTCGTGAGTCAGTTCCCAGAGAAACTGCTCCTTTTCATGGCCCTCAGTTATTAGGTTTTTCCTACTACCCAGAGTTGACTGAACCAGCACTTAACTCCTAAGCAGTGAGTCACTGACTGGTCAGAGACCATTTCTCTCTACTGAGAATTTTAACCAAGAGTCAGATGTCCGTAGTTGGTTGGTTTTCATTGTGGACCCACAGAGTCACATAGGGTTGAAGGTTGGATAGACCAGTTAAATATGTTGTCAAGGTGAGGTTTTTGGAGGAACAGAGGAAGTTGAATTGTGAGAAGGCCACAGAGCAGACAGGCCTAGAGGACTAGGAGAGTGATCCACACCAAAGGAATGTGGAGAGAAAGCCACCTGGGCCTTTTCACTTTTGTGAGATTACTGCTGAACTTCCAGCAGTTTGCACCTAATTCTGCTTCTTTCTAGGCTTGCAAGAATTTTTTATTTTGTCACAGAAACAAAATAATAGTAGCTTGAGCAAAATGGAAATTTCTCATGTAAAAGACCAAATGGGGTGCTGGTATGTTGGAGGCTACAGCAGCAAGCTTGGCCCCATCTCATTGTTAGGGAGGCTGCTTTGGGCCTTCTGCTGTTGGTCACTCAGTGTGGTTTGCATTGTGGGTGGGAGAGGGGCCAGACAGGAGCCAAGAGAGCCAACCTTAATTCCAACTGAGAACTGAAGAGTCAGGAGGTATACGAGGTGCAGAACGCTTACTAGTCATGATGGAGCCTGGTGTGGTTTCTGGTCACATATACAATCACAAGCGCTTTAGTTCTTTCTCAGTCCCCATCAGGGGTTTAAGGGCAGGCTTTCAGCTCTCTTGGTATCACAGCCCCTCTTGAAATAGTTCCTTAATGAAAAACAGTCATTTCAGATTCTGATCATCTATCTGTTCAGAGAGTCTGGAATGCTTTGCAAGCCAATTGTTTTTCTAGAAGTTTGTTTCTGGGGACAATTATACAAATTGTGTGGGCAGCTGTGGCTCCATTGCCTAAGCTGAACAAAGAGAAAAGGGCTGGGCAGGCCTCAAGATGCCCCCTCCCCCACCCAAATTGCTTCCAGACATTTGGTTCTTTCTTCTAAGACCTGAAAATGAGAGAAAAAAAGCAATTCAGTTCCAGAAAACTCTGAGGCAAATGGAGGCTCCAGGCGTCTCTGGAAGGCCAGAGAGCAGATCCTACATTTTTACAAGGAATTGACAGAGTTTTGTCAGTTTCCAAATTAGCCTAAAGTTTTGGCTTTAACATAAATACCAATCACCACCCCCACCCATCTGAAAGGTTTTAAGAGGTTCATTTCCATCTTGGAGCAGAAACTAAAGTGAGACCAAACTTGTGAATGCTGGGCTAGCCCACTTTCCCCATAGCCACAGGCCTGCAGAGTTTCAGCCAAGCTGCTCTCTGAAGGCCACTATCAAGGCCTTTCCTGATGCCAGACACACAGCCCATAACAGGCCATACCTAAAAGCCAGAGTCAGAGCTTAGCTTGAAAGGTTATAGACAACTCCAAACAGACAAAAAGAGAAGGAACAGAGAATCTTAGGATGTGAAACAAAACAGCTTGAATCTATAGCCATGGTGCTGGGCAATCAAATATCTTCCTCCCTAACCTGCCATCAGTTGTGCACTGAGGAGCCCAGAGGAGGAACCATCTCTGGACTGGGCAGGGGTATTGGAAGTGCAGGAGGCAGGTGACAAGAATGGCAGCAGTAAAGCAATGAGTCAAGCATGAGGGTTCCTTGATTGTAATAGGACTTCCCACACAGGTTGGAGCAGGGATCCTCTTAGCTTGTGGGGAAGTGATAGTGTAGTGGTTCCAGATTTCCACTTTGGGATTAACTTCTCTGGTCTAGGGGATGTGTTGAACCTGGGAAAGTGTGATGCATAGAGCCGTCTAGGCGTCTGTCTCTCAAGGCCTGTGAGCTTCAAAGAGAAAATGAATCGGGCAGGATGCGGCCTGGGCCTCCACCCCGGTAGTGTTCTCCAGAACATCTCAGATTCCCAGACTGCCTGCTGGAGCCCTCCTGCTTGGGCTCTCCTCTGCAGGCTGCATAAACCAGCCCAGGTACAGACCACATAACATCTGTTGTAGTGGTCTAGTTTGGGTTTCTGTAGTACTTGGCAATTATTTAGAAGGAAATGGAAAGCTTGCCTTCTACTGACATTTTCTTTTTGATTCAAGAATCCTAACAGTTCTAGAACCACCTAGTCTAACATTAAAATAAAGGAAAAAGTAAGTAAAAGGAAGTAAAAACATCCAATTAGTATGGCATGGCAGTGCTGCCACAGAGAGTCCTAAGGGGCTTGTTCTGTCTTTTGCTCTGCCATCCTTAGGGTGATAGCACAAAAGAGGGGTAGTCCTAACAAAATCAGGGTTCTAGGAGAAAAGTGGGGTGGTGAACAATTGTTGTAATCAGTCATCAATTTGTACTTCAGTGGAAAGAAGGTAGGATTTGAAGCCTGGTTTCACATCTGCTTTTCTGCCACCCACTACCTGTGTGGTCTCATGCAAGTCATTTAACCTTTCTGTCTTTCAGTTCCCCTTCTTTGCAAAATAACGCCTACTTTATAGAACGGTGGTGAGAGGTAGAGACATGTTAAGAGAGCCTGGAGTCTGTTACATGTTGGAACTCAACACTCCCTGCTGTTGCTATCGTTGGTTCCTGAGAGCTATATTTAATTTTCTTCTCAGCCTTGCTGGTCTGTCACTCTCTCACTATAAGGACAGGCATTTCTGCATAGATGACTGTACAGTGGCCTTTTCTATTTTTTGGCTCCTCAGCATCTGTGTAATACCCTACTGAGTGAAAACACCAAAATTTACTTATCCATTTTACTGTGACTAGAACATTCGGAGTTTTCCCATTTTTTAATATTCCATATAATGTTGCTATGTACTGGTATGTGTTACTGGTATGCGTGTATGGACGTTTCTTCAGGGTATAAACTAATAGTGAAATCTCTGGGTCATGTGATATGCCTGTCTTCAACTTCTTTTTTTTTTT